ATATATGAAGTATACAAGTCGATCTGTGCATTGAAAAGTAAGGGAGGGAATTGCGATGAAATGTACTGTTTTACTGAGTTATCACAGTGGTTAACGGTTCATCTACAAGACAGTTATAAGGGAAAAAGAGTGATGTCACAATATTACAACCACAACACAAATAAATCAGTAAGAGAAGGGGAAAGAACAGGGGCTGCCTGGACGACAAAAGCAAGGTATAGAGGTAGACCAGAAGGGGCCGCACTGCTCTCAGCTTTAATTACCTTTCGGTGTTGTTAGTGGCTAAAGGGTGAAAAGATAAATCAAAGCAATCGAAGGTATTTGATCACGATTAATTAGTTTATACTTATTTTTATTAAATATGTAATTCACCGTAGCAGGAGTTCCTACGTACCAGGGGTGAATTAAAGAAAGAAACAAGGACAAAATCTAAAATGAAATAAGCAACTGTAAGCGATTGCTTCTGTTCAGATGTCTCTCAGGGATAGCTCATCCCGCCCGCCATGCACGCTGCGAGAGCTTCAGTGGGCCTTGTTGCTGTCCTTGCCAGGCTTCACATGGGGCTCTTCTTGTGTCGTTTTCGATATCACGTTGCCATCGATGTCGATATCGTCAGACACACGGACGTTTGGCAGCAACAGGGTCAGCGGGATGATCAGGAGCGGCAGGAGGATGTGACCAACAATGACGAGTTTCACGGCGTTCTTGAAATCACACGGCGGATTACTTTTGATGGGCCACACATACTCCATCAGGATGGCACCTATCGAGGTGCCGGTGGTGTAGCCAAGATTGGAAAATCCTGTGATGAGCGCATACACCGTGCTCTCGGAGCCGCGCGGGCACAGACGTGACAGCAGCAATGAAATTGGAATCCATGCAAGCATGTTAATCAGTGGTATAATGATAGTGCTGGTACCAATGTAAAAGAGGTGATCGGGAATGCCGATCTTTACATTCCAACGCTTGAGCATGATGACCTCAGGCAACACACAAGGTACGAGTACGACCGTGGTAATGATCGTGATTTTGCGGTAGTTGGACTTTGATAGGAAATGTTTAAACACCCAAATACCGGTTAAATTTGCAATATTCGCAACTATAGAGCATACAGTGTACTTGAAAGTCAAAGAGAAGTGCGGCCCACCAGGAACACATTTAGGTCCAGCGATGTAGAACTTGTCGATACCAGGTAGATTTATGAAGACCAGTGACGATAAGTAATAAAACACATTAAGCTTTGCAATAACATATGGTAGTGCCCAGAAGGACAACACAGAGCACACCAGCGACACCACTACGCAAATAATAAGCAACCCTAGCGTATTTGCATATACGTTACCGAAAGCCATGATTATGACAGCGACAGTCAGGACAGCGCTGTATGCAACAACCCTCTTGCTCCGCATGGCAACCTCCTTGTTGATCTCGATAAGTCCACAGCAACC